TTTGGTCGCAGGATTGGTCTTGCGGGGGTTCAGGTCACACTGTCCTCTGGCTTCCAAGCAGGGGGTGGAACCCCTGGGTCTGGGGTCGCCTTTTCCGGTCAGCCCCAGGCGGCTGCAGCCTCGCAGCAACCTTGTCACGCCCCTGCCTCTGAGCCCTCTCTCCCAAGTCAGCGGGGAAGGTGGGGCGAAGAGCCCCCATTCGGACTGGGCAGGAGGCGGTAAGGTGAGAAGTTGCCCCTCCAGGCCTCTTCACGTCTCCGGTGGCTCCTGAGACTCGCCCACCTCCTTCTGCTGCCAGGCGTTTTCCTCTGGGTCCCCCGTGTCCAGACCCACCCTAGCCTGTGGCCCCTGCCGGACTCAGTTGGCCACCAATCCTTCCCCTTCTTCCAGCTCCTGGGTCTCAGTCCCTCTCCCTGCTGAGCCCATCTCTCTACCTTTTGTAGAGGAGTCCCCGGGACCCCCAGGGAGTGGGGTGCTGAGGGAGAGGAGGCCCAGGGGGTGAAGGTCTATATCCCCAACTTCTGTTAAACCAGAACAGCCCTATCCATGCCTATGTTAGAGGTTTGGGTTCCTGAAATAGTTTACTTGTGGGGGAATGCTCTGCTGTTTGAAAATTATTACTCTTAGTACACAGGCTCTGGCCCCCTTTGGCTGTGCGACTTGGGCAAGTCCCCTGACCTCTCTGGGCCTTAGATTCGTTCTTTGGAAAATGGTGGTGGACGAGGTCCGTGCTTCCTCACCTTTCCTGTGTTTCGGGGCACGTGCTAAATGTGTTCCCTTGAGGACACAGGGAAGAAGGGGCAGCTTGAGGACTCTGTCCCGCCACCAGCTCATGGTCTGTGCCTGGTTTGTGACTCAGACGTGGTTCAACCACTGAAAAGCTGAAGACCTGAAAATCTCCAGCTCAGACCCCCAAGATCCTCTCCTGTGATCATGTCCTATGGGGTGGCTGACACAAGAAGTGGGGGACAGGGCGCGGACTGCAGGTTTATTGGTTCCCAGCTCCGGAGGGGTGGGGGGGCAGCAGCACTGGCCAGGTCACAGGGCTGGGATTAGAGGCGGAGCCGGAGCCACGGACACTTCCGGATCTTACCTGGTCCTCGAAACGCTTTAGGGAGAGGGGTCCCCGCCCCGTAGCCCCATGCACCAGGGTCATGCCAGGTGGCTGGGCATGTCCCGATTGCAATTTAAAAACATCCTGAAAAAATAGCTTTTGTGAAAATTCCACTCTGGAGCCAGCGGGGGGACGAGGGGTCATGTGCCAGCCTGGGGCTCACTCCCGGGGGCCTCTGGGTGGGCGTGTCTGCGGGGGGCCTCAGGCCAGCACGTAGACCTCCAGCAGGCTGGAGACGGCGTGCATGCGGTAGAAGATGCCGAAAGGCAGGCAGATGTTGACGATGGCGGCCCAGAGGGAGTAGCCGTAGAAGTCCACCTCCACCTTGTTGCTGAAGTGAGGGCGGGCCCCGAAGGCGGGCATGATCCACAGCTGTGGGGGAGACGGTGTGTCAGGACCCCGCCCGACTGGCCACGTCCGTGGGCTTCGCTGGGGGCCCCAGCCCTGCAGTTGGGTGGACAGCAAGGGCTCGGTGTTGCTGAGTGGGGACCTCCCGCATCTCGGAAGGGACTGGTGCTCTCTAAGGAGTTCAGGAAACGTGCCGGACTTAGCTTGCCCACCCCATAGGACTCGCCCTGTGATCACAGCTCCCCCATAGGAGGCCCCACTTGTGGGATGGAGAGAGGAGAAGAAGTTTCATTAGATGATGTGAGAATTTGATACACATTTAGAAATGGCTAAATCAGGAGCTGAAGAGATGTGTGGCCAATCAGCCAGGGCCAAGGCAGGAGGGGCGGGATCCAGCCAGAAGGTTCTGGTGTGGGCTCTGAGGCAAACAACAAGGGCTTCTGGGCTCACCCCACCCTCCCCACCCCCATTCCCAATTAGCTGTGCCATTGGGCACATCGCAGCCCTTTTCTCAACCTGCTTCTGTCCTATAAAATGCTGCTCTCAGAGTTGATCCAGGCTCAGGTACCTGGAGGAAACAGCCTTTCCCAAGGTGACGCCCAGCCAGGGGGCGGGGCCAGCAGAAGGTGGGGGCGGGGCCAGGGCTGGGGCCGGCTCAGGATAGATTCCACTGGTAGGTGAGAGAATGCCTGCCCTCTTTTTCTATAGACTACCTGTAGGAGGGCAATATGTACAGTGGGGACTTCACTAAGAACACACCCCAGTTAGGATGGATGGTTGGTGTTTTTCATGGGGTGGAATCTCTCTGGAGATGTTTTACGTTGATAAACCCACATCAAGGCTATTTCTATATTACGAGCATTGTTTTCTATGGAAGGTGATAGAGCTGGAAGGACTATATTCATAGCGAGTGAAATTTCTCTAGGTGTGTCTCTGGGAAGTACTCACATGGGCGCGTGTTTCTGTGTCAGAGGTTTCCCCTGGGATTAGGTCTGTGCGGTGGGGTGGTAGCTACATTAGGGGGGCCCCTCTAGTGGGGTGCAGCCTTGTGAGGAGGGTTTCCATGCATGGCGCATATTTGTGTTGGGGTCCAGAGGAGTCTCTCTTAGTCCGGGGCTTTGCTGAATCACTGGGGAAGGGGTGCTGTTGTGGGTGCCCCCCTTCCGGGCCAGCCCGCTGCTGCTAATCGACTGCTCACACTTACACTGCCCTCCGCTGCTTCCTGCCGCTGCCCCAGTTATTCTAAGCAGCAGGCTGGTCATGAGCTCCCAGGAGCAGTCACACCTCCCACCTGAGGGTGAGGCTACCCACATCAGTTCTCACAGCTCCCTCTCCCCTCGGCCCTGCTCCCTCTCCCCTCCCTCCCCAGCATTCCCTGGGACCCTTCCGGCTCCTGTGGTGGCTGCCTAGCTGCCGGAATGCCAGGACTCGGTCCTCTGGGTGCTGAGATGCTGTTTGCCCGGCTGCACCTGACCCTCTCGGAACCTACTCCTTCCCTAGACAGACATAGATTCTCGAGTAGGCTGGGGCCAAGACAGAGGGGCCAAGAGACTAACCCTGAAAGAACCTCCTTCCTTACCCCCTCACCCCCAGGTACTCACGATGATGTTGCAGAGCAGAAGAAACAGAGAAATGTCTTTCAGGCATCGGCGTCTCCAGTGGGCCCGGGGAGCCAGGATGATGGCCGTGGCTTCCTGCGGGCCCCCCA